CTGTCATTTTTTACATATTTAGTTCCGTATCTTCAAAATGGCTGGGCATGCCTTTGCCAAAAACTAATAAACACTTTTTCCAATCATTACTAATTGAATGTTTTTTATATAATTCAAATCGGATACTCCGTTCTCTCAAAAACTCGATTTCTTTTTTCTGCACTCTTTGCTCCGTATCTCCGAAACGGCTGGACCTGCTTTTGCCAAAAACTAATCAGCTCTTCTCCATATCAATAGGAATCGAATGTTTTTAACCATTTAAATCGGTTGATCCGTGCGTCCGAAAACGTGAATGGAAATTTGTATCCATACATACATATACACGCACACATACATTTTTTCTGAGGTATGCCAAGATGTTCAGAAACCTTCAAAACGTCGAGAAATGTAAAAATTTTCAATTTCGATTTTCGGCCCATTACAATAACTTACCCTATGGGAAATTTAACAATACATCTTATAAAACAATTAAATAATGCATATTTAAAAAATTTAATAGGGTCTCCTAAACTTTAAGCCCGGCTTTACCCTATATATTTTAAAACACTTGAATAATATTAAGATTTTTGTAGCTTTTAAATACCATAAAGATAAAATTAAAAATGCATTTAATTAACAGTATGATTTCCTAATCCTCACCTTACAAATTGATCAAATAGGTTTTGAATTTATTAACAATCAGAACTCTACATTTGCATCTACAACATACATTGTGTAGGTACACAGCAGTAGGTATTATGTGATTTACAATTGCTCGTATTGAAAGAAACCCACCGTAAGTCTTTCCTCTGACTTACATATAAAATATGATCTGCGATTATGAAATCAGTATTTCTCATGTCGTTTAAAACCCACTCGATGGGCAGTTCGCTCATTCAGCAAAACAATACACGTCCGGTTGCGTATTATACAGTGTGTTTATGCTTACTACCTGTGCGTTTCGCGTTTGATCCGCAGCTCTAGGCGATTTTTTGATACCGCTATCACGGCTTAAATGGCCTCGCGTGCGACGGTAGTCGTCGAACACACCTGAGCCCGGAGGGTGTGCACGCCGCCCTGGCGCTTCTTTAGCGCGTAATGTAATTCATTCGCTGGACGAGTAGACTGCTTTAACGTTCGACGAGATCTGTGTGAATTCTGTATCAACAGATGAAAGGATTGAGAGAAAAATAGAATTAGATGGAGAGCTAGGAGCTTTTCTATGTTACCTATAATTTATTTTATATGAGCAGAATAAATTGTGTCTCCATATTCAACACTACTTTTATATTTAGTCATTTAACTACTTTAATTTTTAAGTCATGCTAATCCGGGACGGGGGGTATATATATATATATATATATATATATATATATATATATATATATATATATATATATATAGACTCAGGCAACATGAATTACAATGTGAAAAAATAGATAACAAAAAATTTAAAAGTACACTTGTGGATCATGCTAATATCAACAACCATAAGTTTGATTTTGACAATCCCCAAATTTTATTCCATGAGAAAGACTTATTTAAACGGAGCATGGCAGAATCAATGTTAATAGTTCGGACTAACAGTAGCATAAATCTAAGAACCGACACAAATATTTTACATGACACTTATATAAACATCATTAATAATTTATAAATTTTTTCATTTATCTTATTCTTTTCAATAAATTAATTTGTTTTTTCATTTTTATCGATTTTTGTATGCGATAGCACTCCTTTTGTTTACATTATAATGATACCCATTCTGTCTCCATCTAGATAAGTACTTCAAATTTGTTTAGAATATTTCTGTAAGTGTTATATGTTTCTTTAGTACTGTGCCAAGCATTGCAAGGAATAGTTGGTGTTTTTTGTATATCAAAAATTAAATGAAATTTAAATAAATTATTAAAGAATGTGTAGTATATAAGTAACTGTTTTTTGAAATTACACTGAAGATGAGACACACCATGGTCTCGAAACGTCTGTAATCATAAAATAAAGTTGTGTTAAACAAATCTGAGTGCTGTTTTGTTCATATTAAACAATTAATATTCGTTCCACTCATATCATAAAATTCTATATATATATATATATATATATATATATATATATATATATAACAGTTTTTTATATAAATATTTTTTTATAATGATTGGGACCTTCCAGTAATAACTTTAATATTCAATTATATGTCATACTTTTTCATCTATGATATTATATCTTATATGGATCTATATGTTGTAATGTAATTCATTCGCTGGACGAGTAGACTGCTTTAACGTTTGTTCGACCGTTGGGAGACGAGATCTGTGTGAATTCTGTATCAACAGATGAAAAGATTGAGAGAAAAATAGAATAAGAAAGGGAGCTAGGAATTTTTCTATGTCACTTACTTATCATTTATTTTATATGAGCGGAATAAATATTGTATCCAAATTTAACACGAACTTTCTATTCAGTAATAACTTCTTTTAGTTGCAGAATATTTATTCTGATTCATATTTTTTAATATTTTTATAATTTCCATCCAACTATATTCTATATATCTGTAGGTGATTTCATAAGAATGATAAGAAACTAGTTGTTATTGGTATTTTGCCCTGAGACAAGTTACATGAACTTCCCCATATGTGTAAATAATCGACTTAATCAATAAAAAATAAATTAACTTATGAGCGATAAAAAGTATTCCGAGTGGATGTATTACACATAATTGAAAACGAACGAACACGTTAACTCGGTGTATTTTCTAAAAGCAAATTTTCAATTTTTATTATTGAACCATTTTCCGTATGACTTTAATGGTTTAGTATGTTCATTAAGACCAAGTACTCTATCGTTATACCAAGTAAATCGTCTAATTTTTATTTTAACAAACGTCAAAGAAACTATTCATTTTCTAAAACTATCATAGTTTTTTGAAATTACTACTTGTTGTAAGGCCGTAATATTTCAGTAAGTTCTACAAGACCATGATATATATCGCCAAAAAAAGTTCCATTAAAATCGGCTTGATTTTTGTTTCAACAGTTAATTGCAAGAAAACGATTCGATAGATTTTCACCTAAAACTAATCAGTATCATTCCCAAATAATACTGTTCGAACAGTTTTTGATTTTTTAAAATCGATTCGGTAGTATGAGCTTAAATGTGGACGAAAAGTTTAACAGTTTTTACCAAATTACAAAGAAATGGCTCGGCCGATCGCTGCACAAAACTGAGAAAAGAAAATACTCATCAAAATACATCGATTGGCTTTTAAATTTTTGAAATCGGTTCAGAGGTTTTTGAGCAAACGTCGATAAAAGTTATAATTTTGACAAACGCCAAAAAATGACACTAAGTTTTGCAAACTTTGACGATTTTTTAAATTTAAACGACTTGTCATAGGACCAAAATATTTTAGTATGATCTATATGTTTATGGTATCTACAGTCAAAAAATTTTTATGAAAATTGTCGAAAAAATTAAAAAATCTGCTATAAGAAAATATTGGCACGATTACATATATAATGTACATACTCTTTGATATTGTTTAATCATTTAAATTAATGGTAACATTTTTTACACAATTAGAGAAGTTTTGTAGACTAGTCACTTACTTTTTGTTAATTCTAAAGCCCCATTCCTTAAATGAATGAATTTAAATGAATGAATTGAAATAAATTGAAACTTTTTTAAATCAGTTGACTTTGAGATGCATTTTTTTAAACAAAATGTACTAAAATCTGTTTAATCAGGATTGTAAAATAATAAAATACTTGTTAATTTAATAATAAATAGAATCCAGTAAAAATAATATCATGAAAATAACACGTTCTTGCTAGGGGGGCGTCCATTAATCACGTGAGATTTTTAGGGGGCGGGGGGTTTGGCAAAAACTCACAAAATATCACGTGGGGGAAGGAGGGGTGTAGTAAGATATTACGTGTATTTATTTTTTAACTGATTTCTTTAAAAAAATCTATCATTTTCAAAAAAAAATCAAAAATTTTACAGTTTTTTCACGTAGCTAAAAATACACGTGATGTTTGGTGGGGGAGGGGGGTTAGTTTTGAATATTAGCAAAGGGGAGGGGGGATCCAAAAACCCTTAAAAAATCTCTCACGTGATTAATGGACGCCCCCTAGTTTAGTTCTGGAACACCCTGTATTTTATTGAAAATTATGTATTAAATAGAATAATGGTCGCAATAAAATATTCAAAAGCGTCTAAAAGAATTAAAAGCTTATAAATAAAATAGTCAATAGCTTAAGTTAACCTAATAATTTTTTCATATTAATCTTTATATTTGAATATCAAATTATTTTTGCAAAAGTTCACCAGCGACCTTCCTAAAGCTTACAATTCTGACCTGACCAAAGCTTCCACCGGCCGTTGCATGCGCTCTTTTAGCCCTAAGGCGCTACTAAACACGTGTGCGAGCGTCCGTTTTACAAATTGACGTGTAAATAGTAACAAGTGGTTTAATTTGTAACAGAACAACATTACGTTGGTCAGCTAGGACTCCAATGGGGGTTTTTCATTATATATTATTCAGCAAACTAAAAATTGCATGAGAACAAAATTGTTGTGTAGAAGTGTATTTAATGACCGCCAAAAAGCGGGAGAAATATTTTAGGAGTTGTGAATGAAATAATTTTTATAATATGAATGAAGATTTCATTTCATATAACATTTCATTTTTTTTTTTGTAATTAATTACATTCTCCCATATTTTAAGCTGGTTTATGATTCAGTATATATGTAATTTTTTATAATTTTTTTAACCGCAAGAGAATTAATAAAATATTCAATAACTATTTTATATATAGTTCGATTTCAAATCATTTATGGACTAGTTAATAAAATAGTCGTAAATTATTTTATGCGGTACATTATCCAGATTTACGCTTCTAACATTGTTGTATCATCCGCCAGATTTAGTCATAAAGCTTTTAAACATCTTCGGATGGAGTAATGTACATTATTACTTTATAGTACAATAATTGTAATATAATAAAATCATTTTGTTTCAGAGGCAATTTACACTGGTACTGCAGGCACTGGATTTTTACAACGCTACATACCCCGGTGAGTTATTTTAATCATCAAAGTTTTATATCGCGAAACGAAATGCGTGTTAGGGGAAAACGGGGTCATTGATATCCGATTCTTTTTAAAAAGAAATATATAATAGATGCCGATTAATTTTTGTATCAAATTTAATTAATGAAGGTTATTTGCATATGTTTAGCAATCAAAATATTCACAAAACTATGTATATTTTTCTGGTATTGCATTGTTTTTTCAGGTTGCTCCAGTGATAATAAATAATTCACAATAATTCTGCAAATTAAATTTGATTACGTATTTTTTTAATAAATGATAAAATAAAAAAATGATGAAAAATTGTATCGATAAGTTTTAATTGAAAATGTGAAAATCAGAAAAAATAAATATTAATTTATCATCTTTTTTTGACAAGGATGAAGGACGTTTAGTCTTTGTTTTACTATATACTATTTTGTCATATTTTATTAGGAAATGTTATGATTTAATGCAAATTAGTAGAGATATTTATTTGTTTGATCTCACAAGTTTCATATCATCTCAGTGTTTATTTCTGAATGCTCTAAATTTTGCAGTTCAATTTATTAAGTATTTGATTTATAGGAACGATATTAAATAGTATTTTATTGGTATTTAGTTGCATAATTTATAATTATCTGAATCTTGATAAACAAATGCGTGATTTAATATTAATTGTATAATTAATTTTGTATTGCCGGAATGCTATAAATATTCACTAGTTTTCTTTAAATTACGCAAATTATAACATTTAATATTAATTATATAATAAGTTTTGAAGAATGGTATATTTTTGCTATGACTTAGATTGATTGTCTATACTAGATTTTGCTAAACTGGTTTGTTGTTGGTAGTTTAAAAAGACATTTTTAGTATAAATAATATATTTTTGGTTGCATAGTGCAACAGAATTTGCCATCTTCTCTTCAATTATTCAAATGTTGCATTAAGAAAAATAAAAATAATTAAAAAATATTTTTAGTTACACAAATTTTGTTGGAAATATCAAAAAAGAAATAAAAAATATACTAATGGTTTGACCTGGTTTGAAATATAGTACATCTAAAAGTAAATTATTCGAATACAACTTTTTGCATATAAGAATATTTGGTGAATCTATTGGTTTAAATTAAAGTGTACAATTTACACTATAGATATTTGTAGATGCTAAATAAGTGCACAGTTATTTTTTTCCAAACAAAGAGATTAAATGACAAAGATGTAATGATGAAGTATTTATTATTATATTTTTATTTTATAATAACTTTTACACATGTCCTTTTACAATGGACATGTGTCCTTTTACAATGGACAGCTAGTCAAACTGTAAGTTTAGAAAAAATTATACAATGATAAAATTAAGAAAATTGGTGTATAAATTAGCTTCACCCCGGCTTCCTCCATATACGCATTAAAATATTTAAACTAATTGTAAATAAGAAACCAATGTTACATTTCACACATCACGGCACCGCTAAGAGGCCAAGACTGAGGCTGAGGCTGAGGTACTTGTTTTAACATTTAATTATCGTTAATGTCTGAACCGACTGAGTTTGTTGTTACCAGAGCTCGTTTGAACTTACATTAGAATGCTTTAAGTACACGAATCATTTATTTTGCTACATATCATCTATCATTATACAACGTGCAACATTCAGACATTTCGGTTTTTGATGGAAAATAAATTTAATGCGCCGTTTGTTTTGGTACTCCATCTTGCTGAACTTTGAAGTATGAAGGCTGAGCATGCAACTTAATAATATCTAAAAAATTAAAATTTTATTTATACCTATATTATATTTTATACCTATATTTATCTATTATCAAGGTATCTATCTCTTCCAATCAACACTTTATAGAGTATACATTTTTCTCATAAACCATAATAAAACATTCGTTTTTTTTTTCTTTTGATATCATGGAATTTTTAAATATTTTTATTATCACTTTTACAAAACAACATGCAAGCTTGATGATAGTATTGTTTGTTGAAATTAATTCCTCAAAATTTATCAACATATATCAGGTCGATAATGTTAATATTCGCATTTTCAATTAGAACTTTTTGATAAAATGTGTATTGTTTATTATTTTCATGTTCATTAGAAAGATACGTAATCGAATTTAATTTGCACAATTATTTTGAATTATATGTTATCGCTTGAGCACCTGAAATAACATAATGCAATATGAGTCATAAGTATAAACATTAGTTTGCGAATATTTTGATTGCTAAAAATAAACAAATGACTTTTCGTTTTAATTAAATTTTGTAGTTAGACTGAATTTGATACTTGGATCATATGTACACACGCAGATATATGTATGTGGTAGATTTAGAATATAAAATTGAATTTTTATTTTTATTTTATTGAAATAAAAATATCATTTGTTTATTTGGAGTAAATTAATTTGTGACTTTTTAATTTCAGAAACCGAACATTTAATCGAAGAAGCAACTTACAGTGGAATTATAGACCCATCCAGCACTTGGAGCACGCTCGAATGGGAATCTCGATCCGAACAGAGAAGAGATTTGGCAGGTGATAGGAGAGTGCGACTTACGTACAGGTAAATACCATCTTTTTATCCTTTTATCTTGTCAACTTTATCTGTTTTACTCAAATAGCAGAAAATTAAAGTTAAATTGATTTAGATAACAAAACTTAATCTTCTAGAAATATTTTTATTACCTCATATTGGTGAAGATTTTAATCTAAAAAATTTCTTAAATGTTAACAACTAACAACCAAAGCACGAAATTATTACTTATAGTACGTATTTTTTTAACAGAGCATTGTTAAATAATTCAATGTAATTTATATTTAAATTTTGTTTTAAACATTTGATAGTTATTCTAAGCAGAATGTCGTCTATCTAAAGATTTACAGATAACTTTGCATTGCTATCCTAATATAGGTTATGAATTTATATATTTATCAAAGAACATGTTATCAAAAATCTATTTAATTAAAAATTACCTTGTTTAGAGTACCAGGACTGATTTGAATATGAAATTATTTATATAAATAAATAATAAAATAATGAAGTTTGCTAAATCTTCAATATAAATTTGATGATAATAATCTAATTGCAATAAGTGAAATTATTATAAATTATACATTGATTTTCATCTACATTATATAATTGATAATATGTCTGTGTTAATTACACTTCCCAAATAATTACCAATAATAATTTTGTAATGTGTAAATGAAATATTTTGATAATAATTATCAATAAATTTGTGTATTTATTGTTAAGTCATTTGTTATGTCGAAAAGCTTAGGAAAATAATTTAGGAAAATTCAAATTGATCACAGGTTACATATTAACAATTGAAATTTACTTTATTGGCTTATTCAAGTAATTCTTCGCATGAAAATCTGCATATCGTATATAAATGGTATTTATATTAATAATTAACCTAATTAATCTTAACGACTTATATAATATAAAATATCAGTCGTCTATCAAATTATTAAGTACTAAAATTTTGTGATTTACAAATTAAATTAATTTTGCTTGTTATTAAACTCTTATTTTCATTTCTATACAAAAAAATTTTATATATAAAATACAAATCCAAATATTCATATACATTAAATTTAAATGATCATATAATAATTACCATGAACACATTTGTACTCGCAATCTAACATAACAATCTAATACTTATTATTGAATTTTTGTCGAAGTTTACACTCGATTTATCATATTAAAAATGTATTATCAGATATCAAATATTTAGGAAGATTCAAATTGATCACAGATTACCTAATAACAATTAAAATTTAGTTCACTGGCTAATTTAAGCAATTCGTCGCTTGAAAATCTTCATATATAAATGATAAACTTAATTAAACTTAACAACTTATATAATAAAAAAAATCAGACGTCTATCAAATTATTAATTAAGAACCAAGATTTTGCGATTTAAAAAATAAATTAATTTTGCTCTGATTATCGGTTCTATACGAAAAATTTAAATATAAAATACAAAACCAAATATTCATATACATTAAATTTAAATTATCATATAATATTTATATACCATGACCACATTTGCACTCGCAATCTAATAGAACAATCTAATACTTATTATTGAATTTTTGTCGACGTTTACATTCAATTTATGATATTAAAAAAAATATTACCCGATATCAAATATTGACATCTATTCACTACCACAACGTTTCCTAAACATGAAAAAAATAATATTCATATCAATTCTAACATCAAAATATATGCATATGCATTTGTAAAACAAACCAAGACATTTTCAATCAACCTTGATATTATCTGATATTGACATTACCAAATAGAAAGCATTTTAATTTAAACAAATGTCTGTTATTTCGTTCTCAGGGTTCGGGTACAATGCGATAGGAATTACTACAACGCAACCTGTACGAAGTTTTGCCGACCCCGTGACGACAAATTCGGCCACTACACCTGCGATTCGCTCGGCGATAAGGTCTGCCTGCCAGGATGGCAAGGGACGAATTGTGAAATAGGTGAGTTTGATAAATGGAGAAAGGATGATGCGAAATAATTTAAGTCGATAGAATTAAATGATATTAGGAGAAAGGTTTTTAATAGATGGTAGATGTAAATGAAGATTATCAAGAAGTATAGAGAAATTTGTCAGTACATTATAAAGATATCTTATATTGTGAACTATATATAATTTTAATTATAAATTTGTATTGATGATTTTGGCTCAGTTTTTTTGCTAGAAACAAAAACTTTAAAGGATTATTGTATAAATAATAAAAAGTGGAATCTGAATGTTTTCAATGCTTGTTATTTTTTTTTCAGCGGTATGCAAAGCAGGATGCCATCCAGTTCATGGAAATTGCGACAGACCAGGCGAATGCGAGTAAGTGATCATTTGCACTATTATTTATTATATATATTATATATATATATATATATAATGTTAAATATGAACAATACAACACTCACATTTTTAACACACACTTAAGATTTGTTTAGAATATTTCTGTATGTGTCACATGTTTTTTAGTACTGAGTCAAGCATTGCAAGGAATAGTTCGTGTTCTTTGTATATCAAAAATTAAATGTATTTTAAATAAAATATTAAAGAATGTGTAGTATATAAGTAACTGTTTTTGAAATTACACTGAAGATGAGACATACCATGGTCTCGAAACGTCTGTAATTAGTAAATAAAGTATGTGTTAAAAATCTGAGTATTGTATTGTTCATATTTAACATTTAATGTTTGTTCCACTCATATCACAAAATTCTCTCTCTCTCTCTCTCTCTCTCTATATATATATATATATATATATATATATACATTTATGTGTGTATATATATGCATATATATGTATAGGTGTGTACATATATGTATATATGTAAGTATGTATTTACTTGAGGGTGTATGTGTGTATATATATATATGTATAGATATATTCAATTATAATAATTTAAAACATTTTTTAACAAACCGTTTTCTATCAAAAAATATTATTTTATCCTCTAGTTACATCATTTTTCAACTGGACCCTATTCCTTATCATTCCTATTTGATATTGCATGACTCACCAAATTGACCTTCAGAAGTTTTCAGTCGACTACAATTCGTATGGCTTGTGCATTTAGTAATAAAAACAAGTTGGAAGAGGACACATAATGCTATTTTGGATAATCATATTTTAATTTTAAATTATTATTTAATAAGTTTATAATATTATTTAATAAATTAGTGAAAAAATGAGTGCTGTTTGTTCACATTTCTAAATTAATATGACCACATATGACAAAAATTGTTTTTATACTGTATGGACATCAATTTCTCAAGTTGTCCTTGTTTCTGTTCCTATACATATTCAAAATCAAGCGATATGACATGGCCCACAAGGATGATTTATGCGATGCATGCATTTTTGAACAGTCAGTAAGTAGTAGATCTTGTAACAGTTAACGTTTTTATTTTTTTAAATATATTATATTTTTATTGGCCTCGCTTACTCGAGCATTTAGCCACCTACATTATTCTATATAATCATATATCCTATACAATCTTCAATTTCATATTATCTTCTTCTTCTTATAATCCTATTCTTTCTATACTTCTTATCTTCATTCTTCTTCTTTTACTATCTTCTCATTTCTTCTTCTAAACACTTTTTACTTCTTCTACTATACTTCTCATTTCATCTTCTAAACTCTTTACTTCAATTCATTTTAATTCTAATTCTCTGATTTTTATACATTATGATTATTTTACATACATATTTTTTATCACTATTAATTATCATTTTTGCTGAATTTAAATATTACATTATTCTTTGGTATCAAATATTTTTTATCTAAATATTTCTTCCGCGTCTTTATTTTGTCACACCTTTTAATAATCGACTAATAATATTGCTTTTAAATCCAATACGACACCGGTTTTTTATATCGCAGTAATAAAAAGCAATCTCGGCATCGTTTCGACTGCGGCTTTACGATTATTTACCAATTTCTAAAATCATTCGATGTCATTGACATACGGTTGCGTACTCAGTTTTTTCAACTCTAAAATTTTTAATCAGCTTCAATATTTCACAAATTACAGTACATTCATCATTATTACCAAGAGATCATTATTTTAGCTAATAAATAACATTTTATTTAAAAATCAACGCGAAGGTTAATTAGTTACCATGGTGCGAGCACGTATTCTCATTAATTTTCGGAAATTATACGTCGAGAAAAAGTCAGACGCCGACATACAACGTTGGTTCGAAAAACATTTGATTACATTAAATGCCTTAACAACAATCAAATGATCGGTACAAGGTAATCCAATTTGGAATAAAAATTATCGTATGTAGTGTCCATTAGTTACAGTTTTGGGACTTTTTTTAATGTTTATCTCTCGTCAAGTTCTCAAGGGATTTTTGTTTTGCAATTTGTTTTTTATTACCGATTCTGCGGAATAGATCAACAGATCAATAAAAGTCATCGGCAGTCCATTGGCAGCAGCCAGTTGGAATCTTATTTGCTTTGAATCTTTCAGTGACATGATTTTATTTCGGTTCACTTTGACATATCTGACACAATATCGATTCATTTACTGAAATTATTCATACTTAATCGAATGTTTCCTGATATCCATCTGTTGATTCATATGTTGTGCGCTGCCGTCATTAGATGGATGTAAAAAACGTTTTTAAAAGTTAAAGGTCACTTAATAAATATATAATTATTTGCGAGTAATTATTTTTTAATGTACACAATAATTATTTCATTATTTTTATATCAGCGCACGCTTCAGAAATATTAATATTAATTTAGAGAATTTAGCTTATTAATGGATTCATATAAAAATGGAGATCAAGATGATTGACGCATTTTCATCCAATAGAATAATCTTATTATCACACTGTGCATTGTTTTACGGAACATTTTTATTTAATGTATTTTTAACAGTTAGTTATCTAATGACTTATATTACACTTAGTAGAAAGTAATATAGTTTATGATAGTTATTTCATATTCTTACAGTCATAACGCATTAGCATATTTTACAATCCGGTTGCTCATCATAAACCGCATATAAATTTGATTTTTAAATGCGGAACGCGTTTCCGTAATTTGGATGAAACGGTGTCCTATATTTTCTTTTTTGCTGGGGTATAAATAATATAAAATTAATTATTGGATTAGAGGAAATATTAACAAAATATTAATGCCAATAGTAGTTTTTCTTCATCAAGGCATGGTCAAACCACTAGTAAACTAAAAATCAAATTTACTGGTTTAATTTTCATCATGTTCCCATTATCAGCAATCCTATCATTAATTTTTTCACCTAATTGAGCAGCTCCAAAAACAAACATGTCAATATTTGCCGATATCACTCCAAATATCCATCATCGAGCATTTACGATCATTGATTTTTTGTTGTCGTTTGGTCATCTTCGCTCATAATTCCCATCGTAAAACGCATTTTAAAGTCGTCGAGAGAGTTCTGAATGTGCTCCCAGACATAAAAAGAAAATTGATATTTATAGTGCTTTGAATATATCACATGGGAGGACATTTCATCCAGGTAGAATTGAGGAAAATTTGGATATTCGCATTAAGGCAATTTATATTTTTATTGTAAATTTGAGAAGTTAATTGTGTAATTTACAAAAATGAACATGATAGAGATGTGTTCCGTTAAAATTTGTATGATAATTATGGAACTGATGTTACATCATTGAATTTTATGAGATCTATACTGAATTTTTTTGTATCCACATGAAAAAAAAACAATACTTAAATAATTGGGTTTTAAAATAAATGTAACATTTTATCATTATAAACATGTTCATAAACATTATTTTATTTAGTACAAGATTTTGTACTAGAAGTATATCTCGAATTGGTCATCAGGTTGTCCGCAGTAAGAAACGTATCCACGATGTTGTCCACAGTTACTTTTGAACAGCAATTTGAACTTAAGATTCCTATTAGCTGTTGTGATAATTTGACTCAATATATGTGTATTTTGTGTTACGTATTTTAGGAGTTATTAAAACTCTCCTTCAATAATTCAGGTTGTTGGGTTATAATTTAACCCTTGTAGCTGTGGACTGTATTAAACACTGATTTGTTTGTATATTATGTATTTGTTGCAGTTCTTATTACAATCACTGATTTATTACTAAGTTATAATGAAAGAAGGTATATTTATTGGTTATTTATTTTACATGTTGTTGCGCGGACTTAACATTTTGAAGTGAACAACTAGTTTAATTAAAACACTCCGCTACCCCCTCTACCAGGGGTAGCAACCATTCCGTGTAAAGCTTAATGTATTGAAGGTTGTCACCTTCATGGCCAATATAATTAAACAAAAATACGTCCGAACAATAAGTCGGTTATACAGATTGCAACCCAAATAGTTGTCCCAATAGTATATTTTCTATAATAGGTCGAATATTTTTTGATCCAGCAATGCCGGATCAGGGCTATATTCATTTGGAAACATATTGCTATCTATTGAAACTTTTGTCGCTATATAAAATATGAAATCAATATTAATATTAAACTTTAAATCAGTTTCCCAGAATTAAGACAACAAATTCGTCCCATATCGTGTGAAGACCCAGTGTCCATTATCGTCGCGTTTCTTCAGAACATCAAACACGTCCAAACCAGTGCGACATTGGACCGGTTTTTTGTTCGTCTTTTTAGAAAAGAAGGTGCGAAGCGAGTCATTGTTTAAACAACTGGACATAATTAATAATTATTATATTTAATGTTAGGAGATGTGTCATGCATACATTATATCTTGTCCGAAAGCGCTTCGAGGAGTTATTAGTTGGCGGAACGTAAGTAGTTTAGGCGAAGCGCTGGCGGAAGCATTGGTGAAATACTCTTTGATAAAGGAAAGGATATACATTTGAAGAGATTGATATTGTTTTGCTACAGGAGAAATAACGTGATAGCAATCAAACAAGATTATTCGTACAGTTTTTATTTTTAGGTGGACCATACGAAAGTTGATGACTTGGCATCTAAAAGAGCACTTGAAAATAGCAAATTTGCCCAAGCACGCTAAAAGTATTTTCATTTTTATATCATTTGTAGAATTTTTTGAAACATATTATTTAATCTAGTCGATTAATATATATGTAATATTTGAGAAACCCTTTATTGACTCCCTCTACTCATAAGTCGCAATCTAAAGGAAAACAGTTTATGTCCTACACTCTAGGATCATATAGGTTAAATATCGCGTAGGACCTTTAATATGTTTTGAATAAAAATTGTACCATAATATGACATCTTAAATATATATATATATATATATATATTTTCTATATTTTACCTTTCCCAGCCACCTGTCTAATAGTGTTGTCCGTTCAGTTG